TTTATATTGATATTCTTGCTAGTAAACATGTGTCACTCAAGCACTTGCAGGTAGCAAACCACAAGGATCATGAGCTCTCTTAAATGAGAATTAATTCCAAAATTTATATTAGCATTGAAACTCTTTTCAGTGCTCTTAACTCCAGTAACGCCTGTTCTGCAAGAACAAGACTGTGCAACAATCGTGCCCAGTTACCATGGGAAACACAAACTAGGAACTGTGGCAGAAAGGCATCTTACGTAACTGAAGATAGCTTCTCTTCTTTGTTTAGTTTTAGGCAAAAATTCATAAAACAAAAGATACTCATTTGCTTTCTGTTGTTTCCAGGAGCCAAAAGCACACACACAACCCTGCAAACCCATTCACTCAACCAGTGCTTTTGCAGCCAATGCTTCGAATTAAGCATGCAGGAGGAGCAGCATGAAAGGAGAGGGGAAGCAGGGCAAGAAGAGAGGTGATTTAGCACCAGCGACAAACAGCCAGCAGCCTGTGGCAGTGATTGAAATATATTAAATCAGCTATTTCATTATGCAGCAATAGCTGTGACCCAAAGGCAGTTAAGGATCTGCAGCGCTCTTCCCCTCTGTTACAGTATCAAAATACTCTACTTCTTTGCCTCAGCTTCTGGTCAAGTACTGAACCAGTAAAACTTCAGAAACCTGCACTCCAAGATAGGCTGCAGCAGCCCTCATCCAGCAGATTCTACTTGTTTCATCCCTTTTGCTCGCTGGAGCAAGGCTTAGACCCCCCAGCTCTCCTTGCTGACCAAACTACCAGTTCCTCCCATCAACATGACCAGTTCAGAAGCTCTCTCTCACTCTTGTTCTGTTCCACAAACACTTTTGGGTCTTCTGTGCCGAGGGGCTTCTGTCTGGCGGCCCTGATCTACTGCAGTATGTGCCTTCATGGTCATTCCTCCTCTTTTACCCTGATCAATACTGAAACCAAGAGGTTAAAAAAAAAAAAAAAAAAGAATTTACTAGTCACAATTTCACTCTGGCATTTTTTACATTTTGGGGCTTAATAGGGACCTATTTTAACAGTACTAGAAAATTAAGTGTTTGTTGCAAGGAAGTGAAAATTCAAACCCGAATGCGTACACAGTCTCGAGATGTCCCCTTACAGTAGCTGCTTTCAGGCAAGTTATAATCTTACAGTGGACAATCCAGCTTTGGTCCCCACACCTTCAGTTGCTGCTTGCATATACTACATACACTGTGAGCTGAATCAAGCAGTCAATCCCAACCCAAAGTAGTTTCTAGAAAATTGTCCTGGAGAGAGGAGCTGGATGTTGAAAGATGCTTGCCCTGAGCATTAAAAATGTTTTATAAATAAGTTTCATGTTTTAAAAACAGAAACCAAGACACAACTTGATAAACCATTTTAGGCAATGTCTGAAAGCATCATCAAGATCACCTGCCCCTTCTTTTTCAAATAACTTCTTTCCTATGTGCAATTCTGTTAATATCATGGTTGCCATGAAATGCTCTCATGCCTTTCTGAGAAATCCTCTGTGCGTTGCCGCATACGCACAACCGCTTCTCTCCAGCGCTGCCGTAAAACTGCCTGTGAAGCAGAACATGAAAGATTTAGCCAGCTTCTCAGCATGGCAGGAATCAGAATTTCAAACTCTGCAGGCATTACTGACATTAGAATTTCTGTAACGCCACAACTGAGACATTTCCTACATGAGGACTTTTATAACATATATATACTAAATGCATATTTGCATTGCTTTATTTTTTGCTTGAGTGACACTCAATAAAAATGAAGTTTAAAAGCTGAATGCACTTCAATTTTGGCTTAAGATAACCAGCTAGCTGCCATTCTAGTTTAGCTTTGTCTTTGTCACATTATACTCTTGATTTTGAAAGCCACGATAGTAAGTTTTTATTTATTTTGGCATTGCCATGGTTTCATTGCTGATGTGCCTATGCTACGAAAAAGAACACATTTTATGTCATGCTATGTGCTGTGACTGACAGAATATACATGTCAGCATCTATTTACCAAGAAAGTGGTAAATAGTGTTTGGCCGAGTGCTCGGCCAAAGCAGGGGGTAGGGACAGGACACAGATGATAAAACCAGACAGTTCTATCACTTGTCCAAGTGATTTGAGAGTCCCTGCTCTCAAATTACTGGCAGGCAAAGATGTATCCATTGGTGCCAAATCATATTACAGCCATCAGCAATACATCAAACGCAAGGACAATGCCACAACGTGTGGAGTTACAGCGACTGACAACATCGGTTGTCAATGAAACATGTAGATGAGAGGCTGCAAAATAAGAGCGTGAGAGGAGCACTTGAACCTCACCAGGCTGGTCAGGCTGGCAGCAACAAGATGATGAAGAGTCAGGTCCGTGTGAGCAGGGGGAAGCCATTCCACCATCCCTTTCCCCAGCAGTGAGTCTCACATGCAATGTGTACCCAGTAAACATTTAAAGCAAGTTTGGCAACAAGGTTTTGGGCAGTCTAACTAGAAGTGTACACATCTGTATGAAGCTCACATATACCTGCTTCACAGAAGGAGAGGAAAACCCACATCACCTATTTGAAGATAAATCTTTACGTTGAACTGGCATATGTACCCACAACGGAAATAAATCCATCAGAATTGAGCAATCATATCCGACGTTTTTTCTTCTACAAATCTAGGCTCTTTTTGTGGAGCTTTGGGTGAAGAACTAGTTTTTCACTAGAGTACATCTTTGTGCCGGCATAATTCTTATTTTACTAAACGTTTTTCATAGCATTTCCTAATCACAAGAGGCACAGAAGCTGCTTGATCGGCCAGTAATCAATCTGACACTTTTTTCCTCACAAGAGATTTACAATCAGTCAGGTAACTTCATTCTGTAACTCAGAACATGCTTTTATCATGCCATGGCTCAGACCAATAGAATTCATCACCTTACCAAGACAGCACGCTGATTTTAGCTACTAAAATATTAACATTACAGTGAACTTCTGTTGATCCAGAGGATGTGCTACCATCTCAACCAACTGCAATATCATGGCAAGGAATTAGTTTGTCTTCAGTAAAACACACATAGTGATCTTCCAGAAATTTCCTAGAAAACCATCTCCTTCTATTCCCTGCCCTCACAAATTATTGAGACTTTTTTGCACAAGAGCTGCACAAGAATGTCAGACGTGTTTCACTCCGCCCTTACGAAACACTCACTGCTGGGGCTTTTGCAGAGCTCCGGGAAGGTGACTGTGAACCCCTGACAGGTTTCGCAAAGTCTCGCTCTGATTAGATGCCACCGATACTTCTGCATACCAAGCATCTTTCCTAAGAATTTAGGAATAAAACCCACAGGTTTCTGCTGCAAGGATTAACCCTTGTCTTCAGGCCAACAGTCCCACCCCAGCACAGGATGATCCTGTGTTACTTGCTTTAGTGATTTTTTTTCAGGTTTTCTCTTTCTTCCATTTAAGTTTCCTGTAGAGCTTTCTTGTCCACATACATCATTTAGAGCTCTTTTGTTTGTTGAATCCTAATATGTTAGTACTAATTGCCGTTGGGCTCTGCTAAAATATGCATCTACACCCTTTCAATAGCTAATCCATTTAAGAACCATGTTCTATACTCTGCATACTCACAGCACCCAACACTCCCAAAAAACATTAAAGCTCTGCGTACAGAGAGCAGCAGTGAACTTAAACCTTACAGAACATGTTTTGTTTTTTTTCCTGTTTGGAAACAAAAATAATCATGTCACCATTGTCCAGAAAGAGTAACACCAAGCCTGCTGCAGTTTAAACACCATGTAAGATTTTGCTTGAGTTGAGCAACAGCATAAAAAAATTCAGCTCCAGGATAATCAATCAAGAATGGATGCTGCATATTGATGGGTTGCTCAGGTACTAAAATCATATATACACAGTAAAATGTTGAGACTATTTTCTCTTTGACTGCATAGTAATTCTGGCTGTGACAAGGAAGAAGAAAAACCAGACAAGTTGTTGAAACAGATGCCAAAGATTTTATACAAGGAATGTCATGGCTGCTTTCTCTTTGTGCATTAACATGGTAGTAAAGCCACATGCATCAACAGCACACAGGGCACAGCCTACAAACCAAGAACACATTGCTCACCCATTTAAAAAAATAAAAATACTTTGAAGCACAGAATTATGCTGGATGCGCAGAATGTCTTTTAAGAGAGGATTTCTACCTACTCATGCCCTTCCTTGGGCAACTGTTACTTTATGGCAGATTTTGCTTACTAAACCATTCGACAGTCCCCAGTAAGCTCGGCCAGTACCGAAGGTGTCCTGGAATGTCTTCTAAGTTTACGTCCACGTGTAGGCTGGATGTAGTTGTGAAGGGGCAATCACTTTGTGAGTGTGTTCTTTCAGAGACAAAGTGAGAGCCGCTTGTTACAAGGAAAAAGTCAGTACGCTTGTTGAGAAGATCAAGTCTTTTATAGCAGTTAATTTAATAATACAGTCCTAAAACAGGGTGGTGGGCACTCATCTACACAAAAGCACATTTAATAAGCTGGGGAAAAAAAAATACCACAGTTCCAGGACATTGCATCAAACTCCAGCCACTCCAAGAGGAGACATCTCTCATGTGGTGGAAGAATTCTTGTCTATGTAAGCCAAGAAGGGAGAATTTTAGGCAGTTTAATCCATAATGGTCTCTTACTTCTTATAACTGGAACCACAAATGCACAGTACAAGACACTGTTAGTTAGGTTAAGTGGTGCTTTTCATAACAGAATCAGTGAATTCATTGCAGTCCTTTAATAAAAGGATAACGTCCTGTGAGTGCCAGTTGCTAAGAGCAAAGAAGAAAGGTTCCCATTTTCCAGGTGGATCTGTAAATTCGTATTATTAGAAAAACTGTAAGTCAAATCTGTGCAGTTTCTATGCAACCACATCTGAGAACACGGAGGCTCCAGAGACTCCAGGATCACTTAAAAAGTAGGGGAAAAGAAAAAGTCAGCACAACCCAAACAACTCAAACTTCGTATTTCAGAATTGCTTACGTAACACGTTCTCTTGTTCTGCTCTGGACAAAACTTTTTGCTGCAACAAGCTGGCAGAGAAACTTGAAGAAAACCTGAGTACGTGAGAACATTGTCAGGGAGAACAAGACCCTGCTACCTTTTGATCTGGTATTGAAGCTGAAATGGCAAAAATCAGAACTCTTTGCCTTGTGACACGTGATTTGCTTTACCTTTCAGAGCTTTGCTGGTCTCTACCACGGGGTCTATTTCAACTCGATACCTCTTGCACTGCAAGACCGCTGCTCGTATCACAGTTCAAACAAACTTGCTAATGAATCGGGATTTCACCTTGCACAGCCCGAAGTATGGCACCTCCAGATGTAGGGTTGGTTGAATTACCAGGTGTAATTCACACAGCAACATTGGAGGTTTCCTGGCAGCACAGAGTCCAAACCTTCCTCACGGGACATCATGATCAACAAGACATTCCACAAGCAGAATCAGAAGGCTGTTAAGTCTGATCCAGTACAGTAAGGAACACTACCATCCATCATTTGAACTAGGAATGCTCAAAGCTTCATAAGCCAACCGTATTCTTAACATACTAAATTATACATAGATAGATAGATATATATAGATATATATTTATTTTTTTTAACTTGGAATAAGATACACTGGATTTTGGTTTGCTCATTTATAAGGGAGCTCTCTCCCTTCCCCAGTTAATTTGAAATTAAAACCTAGAGGCTGCACGTAAGCTCATTCCCAGTGTTCCGAGATGGATATAACACGAGAGGAGGCCAGAAACTGGAAACATGCACTCTGGCTGCAACAGGTTACGAGGTGAAAGTGAGACCAGATATTTTCATTTGT